GTATTTAATTTATTACTGTTATACTTGCTATCATTTCTCCGTTTACTTTTGCGTGACAGGTGAAGGAGTGTTTTTATTCCAGAATTTTAATGAACCATTTATTTGCTTCTTCAGGGTATTGAGAATGTTACCATCGAGGATATGTTAAGTGAAGTAAAAGGACCAGCAAGACGTGCTGTCCCAGACGAAGTTAAGCGAGAATTAATGCAGTGCATTCGAAGTTTTTTGCAAAACGAGTCTGGTATATCTGATCTCTGATTTTATTCACCTTTGAAATTGTGTACATCTTCTACAGCGGGCTACTGTTTTCTAGTTCAGATTTTGCTTCTGATTTCAAATTATTATTCTTTTACGTCCTGAATTGGAAGCATTTGTGACTTCTGTAATCTTTCTTTGTGTTTCAAGGTCTCATTTAGTTATTATATAAGTTGTACAGTTAAATATCGTATTTCGAAGAGTTTCTTGGTTTTGGCCATTCTCATTTTTGCTGTGAAATTACTGTTGAAACAGAAGGAATACGATTCTACTATGCCTATATTATGGTCTCAGTTTTTTCCCATGTGCGTAATTCTTTACTGAATTATATAAATATGGGGATTTTCGCTTTTTTTGAACACTTATTTAGTGAGTAATTTGACATTCTTAAAAGATCGGAATTTATTTAAACTGTTTTTATAAACGAATTAGATGTATCATTTTTCACTAACAGTATGTTTTGCTTTCATTTCAAAGTATCAAGAAGGAGGCATCAAAAAGTTAGAAGATTTGGAGCAATTGGAACATTTTTTTGTAAGAATGACAGGTATTATTTTTATGATCTGTTAACCAGTGATTTGGAACTGTAACATAGCTGTAACAATGGTTTGTTCATTCAATTTTTATATGGGTTACATTTCGTCAATCTCATCGTTGGTTAAACATTCCATCATTATTGCGTTAGGCACTCAAGAGGAAGTTGCAAACGGAAAGCTTGAAAGTGGCTTAACTTTTTTTTTAACTTCGTGTTTTTCTTCTAACTTTGATCGAATCTCCGTGGAAGGATGCGAAACAGTTAGTTTTTCGTTGAATTTGTGCATGATATTGAACATGCTAGTTTGACATTGGATTTTCTGTCGAGAAAGCACTCTCGTTGTTCTTATCTAATATTTGTTACGACTGCACTAGTTTGGCTTTTTTTCAATTCCAATTTGTTGAATTTTTTGGTTTGCATTCAATCAATTTTTCTTACATTTGTTAGTATAAAATTGAAATTAATTTCTAGTAAATGCTTTATTAATGTCTGCTAATACAAGTTTCGTAGATGCATCAAGTGGAATTGATTGAGTTCGTCACAGTAAATTCAATGGTTTCCGTTTCAGTGTGCCAGAAATGTGTGATTTACACAGCACTTATGGCACAACAATTAAGAGCAAACACTGTGGAGAATTCGTAAAAAAATTTGTTCTTTGGTAACATCGATCGATTATGAAGTCCCTCAAACTGTGTACGATACAGCAACCAACCAGCGGTTTTGTCATACCGAACGGTTCGGCAGTGTTGCAAGCGATTCATTTGGCGCTGTACGTTTATCAGGTCTGTAAGTTGCTTCAACCTGATAGTACAGCGATCTAGAATGCCATAAATTTTCTGGTGTTGCTTCTCTCTTTATCGACCATACCTGTCAATAGTCGAAATGACGTTTATTTGTTGACTAACTCTCAGAAATTCTCTTGATTTTTGCTTCACAAAAATTTGAGGCAGTTTAAAACTGTCGAGTAAAAGCAGTAAATTTTTTCACTGTCGATAGAATGATCAATTTAAATACAGATTGCTGCCAAAAAAATTGTTTTTTTTAACGATAAAATCGCCATTGAATGGTGGTAACTTGCGAAAACATTGCATAGAGAAAACTCTACGATTGAGGTAAAGTTTTTGTACATTTTTTGAAAATGCTTACTCTGCTGGCGTTATTTGAGGGCTGATTACAGTGGCTGTATTTGTATCGGAATTGTAAAAAATTTTGGAATTTTTAATGCAAATATAGTACGGAACATTGGCCACAGAAGACAAAAATTAGTAACGACAATTATTTTAGTGTTGTTGAGCGAGAATTTTTTTCTTCGTTACCTTTCGACGAAAACACATCAATTATTTGATTTATATGGAAGCATTAAGTACCGAAAAAGCCGCAAAAACTAAATTCTTTTCCGATAAACTGAATTCGTTGATAGAACAAATAAAGTTACTTTTACAAATCTTATTAAGACGTTGGACAGAAGAAGTACAAATTTTTTTTAGCGACCATTATCTCATCTGCTAGTTTATTTTCTGAAGGGAACTAAGTTTCTGAATTTGAACTACATGTGGTAGGATACGGTCAACAGTTGCTGTAGTCAGTACCTCTGATTTGGTGAAAGTATTAACGGCATTTTAGAATGATCAGCTTTACAGTTACCTTTTACTGATCAAAAATCTTCAGTGCTTCATGAGATTCACAAAAGCGTTTTGGTATCTTTAAACATTGTTGATTTACAATGATTTCAGATCTTTACTTCTAAAATTTTTAGTTGTGTTGTATTATTCAAATAGTAAACATTTGTGTGTATTATTCAATGCTTTTGACCAACATCTTCATTGTTCTACTTAAATCTACAACAATTTTTTTCACGCATTGCATACACATGTTGAAAGTGCATTCCAAAAAATGTTTGGAGATTCATCGTAAATTGTTTAATATTAACAAAATGAGATTAGCTTTTATAATTATAATATTTTTCGCTTCTTATTTAACTGCTGCTGCTGCTACTGCTACTGCTTCTAACCTTGATTTCATTAAAATTTTGATTTTAATTTTTGCCAAACTCTGTTCCACTTTGACTGACCCGTAACCACTTTTTTTTTTCTCCTAACCAAGATGATATCAAATCGACACAATTGTTGTGACTTCTTCAGTTTTATTTATTGCTTTCTGAAAAAAAATGGTGCCGAATAAGTACTTTTATTAGTACTATTTCTGTTCAGTTCTGCAAACAGCAACAACACCAGCAGCAGCACCAACATTGTTCATTAAAATTTGTTTGAATTTGTACTGTCTTTAGTGTTGAAGTTTTTTTTATTTTCTAGCCGACTATGTTCCGGTGTATTTGTTTTCTTTTATTTGTTCTAAAATTTTGCTCTGCTCAACGATTTGATGCAGCACAATATCCGTTTCCACTATCACTGGAACAGTCTAAACGATGTAACATGAGGTCGGCTTCACATGTCTGTGATCCAGATCAGGTTAGAATAAATAGTTAACATTAGCAAAACTAACCGTAATCAACGTTTTAGAATGCCTATAAAGTTTTATAATTATAATTGAATTCTTCCAAAGGTTATTGGAAGCATTTTTTAATTAATACTCTATTATACTGCTACAATTTGTTTTTCAGCAACTTTAAAAGTATCTTTTGTTTTATCCCATCAACGTCTACTTTTGATTTTGTCTTTAAGTACATCACAGCACCGTACACTGATTTTTTGCAGTTTTTTAGCCAACTATTTTAGCAACTGAAATTAGTGTAATTTTACAGATGAATAAATTTCTTTAGAACAATTTAGGTACTATCTGAACCAGATCGGTATCGCCTAGAAAATGATCTGAAACAAATTGGTTATAAGTCGAAAGGCACTCAGGGTGCGACACAGTACTGTGATACAAAAGGAGTTCAAGCATTACTTGCCATTTCTAGACAAGTAATTTGGTTTTTTTCTTTTGGTTTATCTAAATATAACTGACAAGTAATGTCTGTATTTGATCATATCAAGTCAAAAAATTTTTGTTATCTAAAAAATTATTATCTGTAACTAAAATAGATTCGATTTAAGGTTACAGGTTATGGTGGTTTGCTCAGTGTTCTACATTTTTTGTCCTTTTTTCCTCAA